AGGATAGAATGCCATGGGGTTAGAGGTAGCAGAGGCTGGGACAGAACTTGTCTATTCTGCCTCCTTTCACCCCTCCTGTTCTTTGCCTTACGTCCAACCCATCACTTGCTGGGGTAGCCAGCCTATTTGAACAGGTTTAGACAACCCTAGAGTTCTCTCCAAGAGAATTAATACTGAGGAGAAGTTCTACCATTGTCACTCTGGTGAAGCACAGATTCTAACTCAGAGACTCTTTGCCTTGAGGGGGATCTTTCGTCTCCTTCAACTCATCAGAACCCTTAGTTCTGGGCTTGGCTTCTCCCTTTCAGCAGCTGATGATGAAATCCCTATCCCCACGGCCGGGCGCGGCAGCTCATGCCTGTAATCCCAGCACTTTGGGAGGCCAAGGCAGGCGGATTACGAGGTCAGGAGATCGAGACCATCCTGGCTAACACAGTGAAACCCCGTCTCTACTAAAGAATACAAAAAAAAATTAGCCGGGCATAGTGGCAAGCGCCTATAGTCCCAGCTACTCGGGAGGCTGAGGCAGGAGAATGGCATGAACCCGGGAGGCAGAGCTTGCAGTGAGCCAAGACTGCACCACTGCACTCCAGCCTGGGCGACAGTGCGAGACTCTCTCTCTCAAAAAAAAAAAAAAAAAAAAAAGAAATCCCCATCTTCTACTATAAGCTATAAGCTTATGGGGTGAAAATCAGCCATATAAGGATTATAGCATCCACTCTCAAAGACAACAGGCTCAACCACTAATCTCTACATGACAGAATAAACTAAGACCACAGAATGAAAATGGAATGTTTAAAGAATTTAGGAGGCAGTCGGGCCCAGTGGCTTGCGCCTGTAATCCCAGCTACTCGGGAGGCTGAGGCAGGAGAATCACTTGAACCCGGGAGGCAGAGGTTGCAGTAAGCTGAGATTGAGCCATTGCACTCCAGCCTGGACGACAGAGATTCTGTCTCAAATAAAAACAAACAAAAAAAACAAAACAAAACTGTCAAGGTCATTAAAAACAAGTCTAAGAAGCTGTCATGGCCAACAGGAGCCTAAGTGTAATGTGGTATCTTCAATGGGATCCTGGAACAGACAAAACATATTACATAAAAACTAATGAAATCTGAACAAAGTATGGACTTTAGTTAATACTAATGTATCAATATTAGCCCATTTAATTGTGACAACCATAATATACCAATGTAAGATGTTATTAGGGGAAACTGGGTAGGTATATATGGGAACTCTTTGTACCATCTTCCCAACTTTTCTATAAATCTAAAAGTATTGTGAAATAAAATAAAATTTGAAGTCCTTTTTACTGTGCTTTCCCAATGAGTATATCACCCTTAAGAAGCAGCACAGAACACTCTTACACCCTAAAGGGCCTTTACTGGAGGGTAAGAAAGGCCAAATAAGTAACAAGGACTCCTCTGAACAAGCCCTAGGCTACTAAACTGACAAATTTATGACTCAGCAAGTTGGCTCATTATAAGTGTTCCTAAATAGCATTAAGGATAAAGATGTTGCTAAGCAGAGATTTTTAAGTTATTACAGTTAATTTGTTAATTCAGTGAAATTGTTTTTCAAGAGTATATTGACAGGTCCATTAACTGGAGCTGTTCACAAAGCCCTAATTAAGAAACAACATTCACAGGAGTCATTGTCACTCTTTTTAAGTTCTTAATTAGTAGCTCTTAGCATGGTGTTTTCCTTTGTGTGAATTCCTAGGCACTTAGCCATCTCTTTGTGTCCCTTTGGGACTTGCAGAATTTATCCCTTTGGGTTTTGCTTTACTGGTTGAAATTTGAGTGAGACATGATCTAAAATTTCAACATAAAATCCCACTGACACTAGTTTGTTACAACCCAGCAAGTGAAATCATGGACAGGTGCCAGGAATAGTGTTTATTAATTGTGGTTCCCTCATTTTTTTTTAATTCAAGGTTGGTGGGGGTGTTTGGAAACCCTCAATTTTAGTTTTTCCTCTTAATATGGTACAGGCCTAAGACCTGAAACTTGGCCTAAGCAATGAAAAGAGGCACTTGTGTTTACTGCTACCTATGGCAGCTGGCAGCCTGGGTATTTACAGACCAGTAACCCTGCCAGTCTCATTCCAGTTTCCATTGCAGCACGGGAAAAGATTAACAGAAAAAAACTACTTTGGCTTGGTGTGGTAGCTCACACCTGTAACCCCAGCACTTTGGGAGGCTGAGGCGGGTGGATCACCTGAGGTAAGGAGTTTGAGACCAGCCTGGCCGACGTGGCGTGGCAAAACCCCATCTCTACTAAAAATACAAAAAAACATTTAGTCAGGTGTGGTGGCGTGTGACTATAGTCCCAGCTACTTGGGTGGCTGAGGCAGGAGAATTGCTTGAACCCAGGAGGAGGAAGTTGTAGTGAGCTGAGATTGTGCCACCGCACTCCAGCCTGGGCAACAGAACAAGGCATCGTCTCAAAAAAAAAAAAAAAAAGAAAAGAAAAGAAAAAAAACCTACTTCGAGGCCAGGCACAGTGACACCTGTAATCTTAGCTACTCAGGAGGCTGAGTCGGGGGGATCACGTGAGCCCAGAAAGTTGAGGCTGCAGTGAGCTGTGATCATGCACACCAGCCTGAGTGAGACCCTGTCTCTAAAAAAAATAAGTAACTACTTTGGAGCCAGGCATGGTAGCATGTGCCTATAGTCCCAGCTACTTGGGAGGCTGAGGCAGGAGGTTTGCTTGGCCCAGGAAGTCGAGGGTGCAGTGAGCTGTGATTTGCCACTGCACACCAGGCTGGATGACACAATTGAGACCCTGTATCAAAAAAGATTTTAAAAACTACTCTGAAATGTTTTACTAATCTTCTTAGACTCACCAGGAAATAAATTTCTTTGCTTAAAAAAAAAAAAAAAGTCAAGAGGGATATGTAGGTGAATAATTAACTTTATTTATCAAGTAGGAAATCCCATCAAATTATTTAAATGCACATGACTACACCATTGATGCCTTTTGGGATATTGAATACAGGAACAGAAATACCAATTATTTCTCTCTTTTCAAGTAGCAACATAGGAACCTCTCTCTGCTCATGGATAGCCCTACTATAGTCAGGAAAACAACCTGTATGCTTAGAACTTGAGGACTCAGATTTAAAATACTGTAACTCTTCATAACACAAAATTTTCCTCTTTCCTTAGGAGCCATTTTGGTTTTACCAACTTGGACTGAGATTGTGGCTGAATTTGAGAAGTGCAGACTGCTATTCTTTCTTAAGACTTCTCCCTTTGGAGCACATTAAAAGTGGAGAAAACTGGTATAAGTAACCCATGCAAAAAAACACAAATCCCAAACACACAAAAACAGACTATTTTTACTACTGGTTAATTTCTTGCAGTCACCTTAGTGCCCTAAAAGATGAAGAGTATAACATTCTAAGGCAAAGCTATTGATAACGTTAAATTTTTCAGGGAGTCATGTTGCTACTGGCTCTGAACCTGTCACTAATGTTCAACTTTCAAGGCCTGAATTTCATTCTCCAGGACAGAGGTTGGCAAACCATAGCCCGAGGGCCAATTCCAGCCTGTTTTGTATGGCTCTCAAAATAAGAATGGTCTTTAAATTTGTAAATCATTGAAAAACATTTTGACACTGAAAATTTTATGAAATTCCAATTCAATGTCCATAAACAATGTTCTATTAGAACTACAGAGTTGTTACTGTCTAAGGCTGTGTTTGCACTAGAGCTGCAAACATAGTTGCAAAAACCACATGGCTGAACAAATGTAATATTATCTGGCCTTTTACAGCAAGTTTGCTGATTCCTGCTTTTGAACAGCAGTGCATAATAAACTTTCTGAATTGGTGGAAATGCTCTCTGAGTTTTCCAGTAGGGTAGTCAGCAGCTAAACAGATTCTGAGATTAAGAAATTGATAGGCCGGGCGCGGTGGCTCAAGCCTGTAATCCTAGCACTTTGGGAGGCTGAGACGGGCGGATCACGAGGTCAGGAGATCGAGACCATCCTGGCTAACATGGTGAAACCCCGTCTCTACTAAAAAATACAAAAAACTAGCCGGGCGCGGTGGCGGGCGCCTGTAGTCCCAGCTACTCAGGAGGCTGAGGCAGGAGAATGGTGTGAACCCGGGAGGCGGAGCTTGCAGTGAGCTGAGATCAGCCACTGCACTCCAGCCTGGGCGACAGAGCGAGACTCCGTCTCAAAAAAAAAAAAAAAAAAGAAATTGATTAATTTTTATCAACTTACACAGCCACATGTAGCATATAGCTACTGCACAGCAGAGCTCTAGAAAATAAGGGTTGGACTTTAGATTCTAAGAATTCTCTAAAATTCTGATACTTGGCCAGGCACGGTGGCTCATGCCTGTACTCCCAGTACTTTAGGAGGCCAAGGCAGGTGGATCACGAGGTCAGAAGTTCGAGACCAGCCTGACCAACATGGTGAAACCCCATCTCCACTAAAAATACAAAAATTAGCTGGGTGTGGTGGTGCGCGCCTATAATCCCAGCTACTCAGGAGGCCGAGGCAGGAGAATCGATTGAACCCAGGAGGTAGAGGTTGCAGTAAGCCGAGATCGCACCATTGCACTCCAGCCTGGGTGACAGAGTGAGACTCTGTCTCAAAAAACAAACAAAAAAACCTGTAATCCCAGCATTTTGGGAGGCCGAGGCAGGCAAATCACAAGGTCAGGAGTTTGAGACCAGCCTGGCCAATATGGTGAAACCCCCATCTCTACATAAAATTAAAAAATTAGCCTGGCGTGGTGGCAGGTGCCTGTAGTCCTAGCTACTTGGGAGACTGAGGCAGAAGAATCGCTTGAACCCGGGAGGCGGAGGTTGCAGTGAGCCGAGATCGAGCCACTGCACTCCAGCCTGGGCAACAGAGCAAGACTCCGTCTCAAAAAAAAGAAAAAAAAAAAAAAAGAAAAAAAAATTCTGATACTCTACATAATTTTTCAAATCATAATTTTAAGTACCCTACCCCCGTCTGAGCTGCAGTAATTTAATTGGAACCTACATGACAAGAAGACTACATATATTACTTATCTTGGTGTCACACAGGGCTGTCAGACATCTGGGGTCGTGATGGGGGTAGATGATATTCAGGTGAAGGCATCTAGGATTCAAAGAGGTAAAGAATGACAGGCTGTCCCTAAGACAGGGTCCTTTTTCTAACAGAAAAAAATTGTTTGCACCCAGACTAGGACCAACTCCACAGAAGGAGTCATTCCACTCTCAGAGGTGCAAAACACTGCCCAAAGGTACTCAGCTACAACACTAAAACAGTGCTTGGAGCCAAACCTCAATAAAGACAGTGCTTGCTCTTCCAACAGTGTAACACCATCACAGGCACCACATAAGCCTGGATAGCTGACAACCGCTGGATGATTCCTGAAACAGCTTTCTCATTGTTTCAGATACCTAGGCACTCCAGGTAGAAGACCTATCAGTCAAATGTTGGCTGCAAAACAGGCATGGAAGCACTGATTGCAGACCCTGTTGTCAAACTCTTTAACAGGAATCCCCTTCCATGTTTTCAGTTGTTTTATCCAACATTCAGGGAATTCCTGCCATGTGCCAAGCACTGTGATTGGGATCTAGCAGTGAATAAAACAAGATATACTGTCCTTTCCTTCATGGATCTTACAAATACAGGTTAATTTACCTCTCAGTTGTTTCCTGATAGATACCAACTAGCCAACAGGCCTGCACAGAGGAGGCAGTCAATGTTGGAATGAACAGGGATATTTACCTGAAAACTGCACGTGCAGACTGTCACCTGCCACTATTTCCTCTCTTCAGATGGGTGAAGGATGCCCTACTTTCAAGTCATCCTAAAAAGGAAGACAAGCAAACTTAGTGATCTAGTACACAGAACGGTGAATAAATAGCAATGCATTGTATATATATATATTTTTTGAGATAGGGTCTCACTCTGTCCAGGCTGGAGTGCAGTGGCATGACCATGGTTCACTGTAGTTTCAATCTCCTGGGTCAAGTGATCCTCCCAGCTTAGCCTCCCAAGCAGCTGGGACTACAGGTGCATGCCAACACACCCACCTAATTTCTTTTTTGTTTTTTATATTCCCGATGAATTTGAATGTTTGGCACCCCGGTCTAAAACAACAGCTCCTAAGTACCCTTATCTGGAGAGATGGAAACAGAATGCTGCTTGCCATTTATGATTTATCCTCATTTCTACAGCCTCAGGAATTATTTTATTTACCATTATTTGCCTTTTCCCTGCCTAGAGTACTATAAAGCTAACCATCCCCCAAGCCCTACAGATATCACTAGCCTTAAGACCCCATATGTAAAAGGCTATTCACAGTTGAGGCATTCACACAAAGCACTCATATTTAGTTGAGAGAATCCTATTAAGGGAATGCCAACTGATCTAACAAAACAAGCTTTGATAAACAACTCCCCTGCCCCCCAACATCCTCCCCAGTTCCTCCTGTGGAAACTAGGATGTCACTTTTCACAGCAACTGAGGGTCATCTCTTCTCAAAAGAACCTCTTCTCAAAAAATTAGCATTCCAGGCCAGGCATGGTACAATGGCTCATGCCTGTAACCCCAGCACTTTAGGAGGCAGGAGGATCACTTGAGCCCAGGAGTTCGAGACCAGCCTGGACAACATGATGAAATCCCGTCTCTCCTAAAGCCTGGGCAACATAATGAGACTTTGTCTCTACAACTTAAAAAAATAAACAAACAAAAAATTAGCTGGTTGTGGTGGCACACACCTGTCATCCCAACCACTTGGGAAAAAGCATTCCAAAACAAAATTACTACAAAGGGAACTCAGTAATGGGGCAACAATTATAAAAGGAACTCACTTCAATGGGGCGACAACTATTCATTTCTGAAAATCAGTAAGCAACTAAAGCGAATATACTGTCAGCCCAAAGGAGAAATTAGTGTGGTTGTAGTTGTTCAGTTCCCAGAGCCCCCTCAATCGATATTTTATTTTATTTTATTTTATTTATTTATTTATTTATTTATTTTTTGAGACGGAGTCTCGCTCTGTCGCCCAGGCTGGAGTGCTGTGGCGCAATCTCGGCTCACTGCAAGCTCCGCCTCCCGGGTTCACGCCATTCTCCTGCCTCAGCCTCCCGAGTAGCTGGGACTACAGGCGCCCGCCACTGCGCCCGGCTAATTTTTTCTATTTTTAGTAGAGACGGGGTTTCACCATGGTCTCGATCTCCTGACCTTGTGATCCGCCCGCCTCGGCCTCCCAAAGTGCTGGGATTACAGGCGTGAGCCACCGCGCCCGGCCCCCTCAATCGATATTTTAATATTTTATTAAAGAGCTAGAGAATGCCCATAATTTTAAAGTGAATTCCCATCAATGTTTCCCTAATAGGGAATCCCATAGATAACTATGGTTGTAAAATCCTCTACAAAGGGAATCATGACTAGCTTTTATGGTGGGTAGTGGGAGCTATGCCCTTTAATTTCAGCGAAATTAGCAAAAATCCCATTGTATCTGGCCCCCTTTGAGCACTTAGTAGGCACTAAAAATAAAGGTGTGACTTTTCCATCTATTTTTACCAACCCCCTCTTCCCATTAGCTTTGTTTTATTTCCAAGGTATGATTCAAGTAACTTCTTGCTACCCAAACCTGTTGGACCAGAACTATTCAGGAAGGTCTAGATTTATTCTCTCTGCAAAAAGTCATGCTCTCACAGATTAAACCTTAATGCAAGCTTTTCCAACCCGCAGCCCAACACAAATTGGTAAACTTTCTTAACACATTATGAGGGTGTTTTTTTTTTTGCAACATTTTTAAAATTTAGCTATCAGTTATTGTTAGTGTTACTATATTTTATGTGTGACCTAAGACAATTCTTATCCTTCCAGTGTGGCCCAGGGAAGCCAAAAAACACCCCTGCCTTGATGGATAAGCAACTATGCTGGCATCCTGGGGTAGTCAACACAGAGTTGGCACGAACCAGGGCCAGAATGCCAACCAGCTATTGGCTGCTGTTCTCCCAGCAGTGTAACACTTGCCTAGGTACAAGACAACCTAGGCAGCTGCCTACAGCTGGAGCCAAGAGAGCTGAAGGGATTGCACTCACCTGCAGTTGCATCTGCCACAGCTGGCCTCTGCAATGAAACAACTCCAGGTTAGTCAGCCAACAGTGAACACGTGTGCAGCTCAGAGTCCTTGCCCTCAAAACGTGGTATCTTAGGCCTGAGCCACAGAAACAACAGCAGACAATAAAACCAATAGCTTATCCTTGTTTAGCTTTGTTTTCACCTCTTGTTACTTATACACCACGGCAGTTCAACAGTAGCAAAAGAGTCGATTAAACAAGTATCGGGGAGCCTGGCTCTATCGCCTAACTAGTGTCTAGCCAAATGACACTGGGCGAGTAACCTCTCTATACCTCAGTCTCATTTGTAGAATGGAGATATTATATTACAGGGTCTTTCTCTGTCACCCAGGCTGGAGTGCAATGGCACAATCATGGCTCACTGCAGCCTCCACTTCCTGGGCTCAAGTGATTCTCCCACCTCAGCCTCCTGAGTGAGTAGCTGGGACTACAGGCGCGAGTACACCAAGCCGAATGGGGATATTACTAATAGTACTCTGTACGTAGGGTTGTTGGGAGGCTTAAGTGATATAAGCTAACCCCCAGGATAATGTCTGGTATAGTGTGGGCACTCTGTAAACACCTGAGGAGCTACATTCCAAAAAAGGCTCAGATGGTGAATATGAGTGAGTAAAAAGGGAAAAGTTATCCAGTGAGAGAAATGGGCAGTGAAGAGTGGGAAAACTAGATAGTCCAATATAGGACTTCCTGAAAGACAATAAAAACAGCACTTAGAAAAATAACTGCAGTATTGGATATGAGGGGAATTGGAGGCAGTAGTCATGCCAAGACCTCAACTACTGATTAAGAGCAATAACCAAAATGTTAGGCGGGGCGCGGTGGCTCACACCTCTAATCCCAGCACTTTAGGAGGCCGAGGTGGGCGGATCACGAGGTCAGGAGATAGAGACCTGGCTAACACGGTGAAACCCCGTCTCTACTAAAAATACGAAAAATTAGCCGGGCGTGGTGGCGGGCGCCTGTAGTCCCAGCTACTGGGGAGCCTGAGGCAGGAGAATGTCGTGAACCCGTGAGGCGGAGCTTGCAGTGAGCTGAGATCTTGCCACTGCACTCCAGCCTGGGTGACAGAGCGACACTCCGTCTCAAAAAAAATAAATAACCAAAATGTTTGCACAAATGATAATAAATATTTCTACATAGTCACTATTTTTTTTTTTTTAAAACGGAGTCTTGCTCTGTTACCAGGCTGGAGTGCAGTGGTGCTATCTCGGCTCACTGCAACCTCCGCCTCCCGGGTTCAAGCGATTCTCCTGCCTCAGCCTACCGACTTGAGGCGTGCGCCACCACGCCCAGCTAAGTTTTGTATTTTTAGTACAGACGGGGTTTCACCGTGTTGGCCAGGACGGTCTTCATCCCTTGACCTCGTGATCCGCCCGCCTGGGCCTCCCAAAGTGCTGAGATTACAGGCGTGAGCCACTGTGCCCGGCCTCACAGTCATCATTATAATTTATGTAAGGCTAAGATCATACCTTTTTCCAGCCATCCCCAAATTTCACTCCTAACTTCCTCCAAATAATTTAGAGGAACAGGAAAATGAGTAGAGAGGGTTCATTGTTCGCTGGGTCTAAAAACAGATCTAAAAATAGCGTGCCCCTTTCAAGGCTCAGGTTAAAGGGGCTGACTCAGTTCCACCGGACATTTGTTCCTCACAAACCTTCCAAAGTCCCTGCCCCTGGCACTGGGAGATGGAGGCTGTCAGAGTCAGGCTGTAGGGGACTCCCTAGGGAGAAGAGGGACGGTAGAAAAACAGGGGACGACTCCGGGACCCAGGTCTCTTTCCGATGCCCTCCAAGTTCGGGGTCACGAGGGGACGAACCCCAATTTCATCCCGTGCCCCGGCAGAAGCCACCCTACACTGCTTCTTTCCCCAGGCTGGGAAACCTCCAAGGACTCTGCCCTCGGGGTCCTTACTCACGCGCACGTGTTCGGAGCTCCGCAGGGCGCAGCAGCACAGGCAGAGGCCGGAGGGGAAAGGGCAGCCGGGAGCCGAGGGGAGCCCCGCCCCGGGGCGGCTATGGGCGTGGCTTCGGTGGGCGGGGCCCTTGACCCCGCCTAGGAAAGGCCGGGCTTAAAAAAAAAAAAATTGCGAGTGCGGTGGCAGAGGTGAACCTGCTTCTTACAGGAGAGAAGGGCTGGGGTCTGAGCAATGGCTGCGTTTGTTGGACTCCCAATCCATCTCTTAAGGGTAGAAGGGGCGCATAGTTCACAGCTGCTCAGGAGAGAATCTGTGTGTCCTAGTGGAGCCAGGCTTCCTGCCTGCCCACACTACGCGCCCCCGGAACTCTGGTACCCCTCACGAGCGTGGCGCCTTTCCGTCGCTGCAGGCCCAGCCCACGCTTTTGCGCTTCCCACGCATATCCTTTTTCTGACTTTCTGCGGCAATGCTGTCATTCGGCTAATGGATCGCCCACCCACGCAGGTCACCTTGGTCCACGGTCTTCGGGATCTTTCCAGGAGGTTTTCGAATAGATTAAGCCAGTCACTCCTACTGCTTACCTCTGCAGGACCGGCATCCCTAGTGCCCTGCAGTGGGATTTTTCGCTGAGCTGCAGTAACTGAAGAACACTGGCTTTCTCTGCTAGACTTGTCCTCCACCAAGGCACAGGCAGGCAGAGTCCTTGGTCAGGACAGACTGCCTGCAAGGCTACCAGGATTTCTTTGGAACACTAAAACTTCCCTCTCCCACTGGCTAGAGTCCATATGATTCCGCTGGGGTCCAGAGTGGAAAGGCCTACAAACAGTAATTCCTAACTCCGTGCTCTAATTCCCCCAAATTCCTTTCCGATACCCGCCCCTCAACAACCACCACCTATCCTGTGGGTTTTGCTGATCTCTTGCACCGGCACCATTGCTAGATGAACCCCTGGCAACCAAGCCACTGCCCTTGGCATCTGACAACATGATTCATTGTCTATTTCCTCAGCTCTTTCATAAAGAAAAAGGTATGCTTCTTGTGCACCCTAACTCTTGCAGACCTCTCCTAAGAAAGCCCAGAGCCCCAGTTTGATTCCAGCAAGAGACCCTAGGCTGTAGGGCCAAAGAGCCACTGGAGGGGAAGTGGCGAGCTCAAATCTTCCCCAGTTTTGATGGAGTTGGACACAGGCTTTGGTTGGGAAAAGGCTTCCATAAATACAGTAATTTAAAAAGTCACATGATCAGTGCTGGGCTGGTAGGCAGGAGCTCTGCTTTGCAGTTAAATAGGAATGTGGCTGAAGACTGCTGCCATAATCAATGCCTACATCCGGCTGTCACAGCGTGTTCATAAAGGAAGGTTATGAGAGCTATAAAACCAGGCAGATTGGGTGGGTAATTGTCCTGCTGAGCTCTGCTAAAGGAGAAATTGCATTGGCATCTCATGTATTTAGCTTTCTTTCCTTCCAAACACACAAAGTGGAGAGGGCAGAGCTACTCTGAAGGTTCATGAAAAGGAAAGATGAGGGTGTATGTGTGTGTGAATGTGCATGTGTGTTTTCAAAGAAGAGACAAGAAGTAACTGAGCACAGGGAGCTATGCAGACCTTTGGGGAGAGAGGGACTAATAACCTGGTGATGACTGGATTCAGATTAGGCCAGGTAGAAGGCAGAATTTGTGTGGAAGGCCAGCCATTATAAATAAGGCTGTGAGGTGAGCCATATTTTCATGTCCTGTTGAACATGTGGTCAACTTTTTGGCCTATAGGTCTTTCAGTGACCTTTGGAGAAAAACCAAGATGATTTCTTTTGTTCCCAACTTAAAAATCCTTCATAGTCAGGCCGGGTGCAGTGGCTCACGCCTGCAATCCCAGCACTTTGGAAGGCCGAGGTGGGCGGATCATGAGGTCAGGAGATTGAGACCATCCTGCCTAACACGGTGAAAACCCGCCTCCACTAAAAATACAAAAAAAAAAAAAATTAGCTGGGCGTGGTGGTGGGTGCCTGTAGTCCCAGCTGCTCGGGAGGCTGAGGCAGGAGAATGGCGTGAACCCGGGAAGCGGAGGTTGCAGTGAGCCGAGATTGTGCCAATGCACTCCAGCCTGGGTGACAGAGCGAGACTCCGTCTCGAAAAAAAAAAAAAAAATTCCTTCATAGTCAACCTTTTTGACTTCTATCCTTTTAAATTTTGGATTAATTTTGGTGGGTTGATTTATGTTTTTTTTTTTTTACCTGTAATATCAACTATTTTTCTACTTTTTTGTTTCCTCTTTTTCCAAAGACAAAATTGTTGAGAATAATAATAAAATATAAAAGGGAACATTTCTGGAAAAAGAAAAATGCAGCTAGATGGAAAGTAAAGGACTAGGGGAAGTCCATTAGCTCTAAGTTTGACCTCATAACTTAAAGCTGACCTCAAGTTACACCAGGTCCCCAAGCTTCTTGCCTGCCTTTCCCTTTCTCCTACATCTCCTCTCATTCCTGCTTCCCTCCTTGATGACTTCTGCCTCTGTGACTACTCTTTTTCTCTCTCCCTAGACAGGAACCACCAGTAGAGAAATATCTAGTTGTTTGTTCAGTTAGTTAGTCACTCAGTCAATCAACATTTACGAAGCATCTATCATGTGCCAGACTCTGTTCAGATGCTGCAGACAAAGTCAGAATAATAGAGATTCCTGCCTGCCTAAAGCTTACAGTCTAGTGGAGAAGAATGACAAGTACTATATGTATTCTTGGTCACATGTCAGGGGGCAGCTAACATAGTCTAAGGGGTCAGGAAGAGTACTAGAGAGAGTTGTATTCTCTCTGGCTGATCCTAAGGGCTTAGAGTAGAGGAGGGACCCCTCTTCCATCTGTGTACTCCTCTTGCTGCTATGTACTAGCTACCCAATTAGAGTGGGGCTCTTCAGTTGTCCTTGTTATTTCTCAAAAGCATAGTTGGATTGGCAAGGATGTGGAGAAATTGGAACCCTCATACACTGTTGGTGGGAATGTAAAATGGTGGTGCATCTGCTTTGGAAAACTGTCTGGCAGTTCCTCAAATGATTAAACATAGAGTTACTTTATGACTCAGCAATTCCAGTCCTAGGTATGCACCCAAGAGCAAATAAAGCCTGTCACACAAAAGCCTATACAGAAATGTTTATAGCACCATTATTCATAATAGCCCCCCAAAACCAAATGTTCATTACTTGATGAATGGAAAAAAAACAGTGGCATATCCATACAATGGACTATTACTCAGCCCTAAAAGGGAATGAATCCTGTAATCCCAGCACTTTGAAGAGGCTAAGACAAGAGGATTGCTTGAGCCCAGGAGTTCAAGACCAGCCTGGGCAACATAAAGATGGGACCCCATCTCTACAAAAAATAAAAAAAAAATAGGTGGGCATGGTGATACACAACTGTAGTCCCAGCTATTTAGGAGGATAAGGTGAGAGGATTGCTTAAGCCTGGGAGGTTGAGGCTGCAGTGAGCTGTGATCATGCCATTGCACTCCAGCCTGAGTGACAGTGAAACTCTGTCTCAAAAAAAAAAAAAAAAGGAAGAAGAAGAAGAAGAAGAGTCTGCGCATGGTGGCTCACACCTGTAATCCCAGCACTTTGGGAGGCCAAGGTGGGGGGATCACTTGAGGTCAGGAGTTTGAGACCAGCGTGGTGAAACCCCGTCTCTACTAAAAATACAAAAAATTATCTGGTTGTGGTGGCTTGAGCCTATATTCCCAGCTACTTGGGAGGCTAAGGCAGGAGAACTGCTTGAGCCAGGGAGGCGGAGGTTGCAGTGAGCGGAGATGGAGCCACTGCCCTTCAGCCTGGCAACAGAGCAAGACTCTGTCTCACAAGAAAAAAAGAAAAAAATGAATCACGTACTGATTCATGCTACAACATAGATGAACCTTGAAAACATTAAGATAGGCTGGGCACGGTGGCTAACACCTGTAATCCCAGCACTTTGGAAGGCCGAGGCGGGCAGATCACGAGGTCAGGAGATTGAGACCATCCTTGCTAACATGGTGAAACCCTGTCTCTACTAAAAGATAGAAAAAATTAGCCAGGCATGGTGGTGGGCACCTGTAGTCCCAGTTACTCGGGAGGCTGAGGCAGGAGAATGGCGTGAACCTGGAAGGCGGAGCTTGCAGTGAGCCAACATCATGCCACTGTACTCCAGCCTGGGTGACAGAGTGAGACTCCATCTCAAAAAAAAAAAAAAAAAAAAAGAGAAAGAAAGAAAACATTAAGATAAAGAAGCTGGTCACAAAATATCACATATTGTTTGATCCCATTCATATGAAAGTCCAGAATAGGAAAATCTGCAGAGACTGGAAGGAAAATCTGTAGAGACAGGAAGTAGATTAGGGGTTGCTTAGGGTTGAGTGGGGGACAAGGTGATAGCTAAGGGGCTTGGAGTTTCTTTTTGATGTGATGAAAATGTTCTAAAATTGTGGCAATGGTTGCACGTAACTGAGTATAATAAAAACCATTGAATTGCACTTTTTTTTTTTTGAGACAGAGTTTTGCTCTTGTTGCCCAGGCTGGAGTGCAATGACACGATCTTGGCTCACTGCAACCTCTGCCTCCCAGTTTCAAGCAATTCTTTCAAGCAATTCCTGTCTCAGCCTCCCCAGTAGCTGGGATTACAGGCACCTACCACCACGCCTGGCTAATTTTTGTATTTTTAGTAGAGATGGGGTTTCATCATTATTGGTCAGGCTGGTCTCGAACTCCTGACCTCAGGTGATCCACCCGCCTTGGCCTCCCAAAGTGCTGGGATTACAGGTGTGAGCCACCACACCCGGCAAATTGCACTCTTTAAATGTGTAGGTTGTAGGGTGTGTGAATTATATCTCAATAAAACTGTTTAAATAACAACAATGAAAAGTATATGGGGCCGGGTATGGTGGCTCACGCCTGTAATCCCAACATTTTGGGAGGCCAAGGTGGGAGGATCACTTCAGCCCAAGAGTACAAGACTAGCCTGGACAACATAGCAAGATTCTGTCTCTATATATTAAAAAATAAATACAATAAGATAAAATACAGCCAAGTGCATGGTTCACGCCTGTAATCCCAGTACTTTGGGAGGCTGAGGTGGGCAGATCATGAGGTCAGGAGATCGAGACCATCCTGGCTAACACGGTGAAACCCCATCTCTACTAAAAATACAAAAAATTAGCCAGGCATGGTGGCAGGCGCCTGTAGTCCCAGCTACTAGGGAGGCTGAGGCAGGAAAACAGCATGAACCCGGGAGGAGGAGTTTTCAGTGAGCCAATATTGGGCCACTGCACTCCAGCCTAGGCAACAGAGCGAAACTCCATCTCAAAATAAAATAAAATAAAAAATAAAATAAAAT